CAAACAAAATGAGAGTTGAAAGAATGTCGCTACATATGAAGTTTTGCAACATTGTGAGAGAAGAAATCAAACTCAAAGGAATATAGAAACGATCAATTTGTGACGAAAGGGAATAATCAAGCAAAAATCTTCTTTTGAATTTTCATGATGATGATTATTATATATATATATATATATATATGCATCTTCCCGCTCGACACTGCTAGGGTTTGGCCTGATGGTGAACCCTAGCAGCTTCGCTGTTTCTTCTCGTGTCTCGCAAGCTTTCCCGGCTCGGCTCTGCGGCTCCTCTACAGTGCGACTCGTCTCGATTCTTTTGGTGTCGCGAATTCTGTTCTCGGCTCTGCGGCTCATCTGCGGTGCGACTCGTCTTCTCGCGATTTTTCCGGTCTCGCGAGTTCTGCCGCTTCCCATCTCGCGAATTCTGCAGCTTTCAGTCTCGCGAGTGGCTCGGGAGTACTCGGATCTGCGGCTCCTGTGTTCTCAGCTTCGGTCGACGACACTTTTCCCCTGTTTTCTTCTGTTCTCAGCTTCGGTCGACGCCATTTTCCCCTTGTTTTCTTCTTAATGCCACACATGGCTTTAGACAAATTGTATGCAGCTGCCCTCACGGGTGTTCACGCCTCATCTACACCTAAATCGTGTTCTTTCCCTTTTTTGTTTAAGTGGGAGGACATAAAAAAACCTGATAGGAAGAATGAGAAACTTACCATCTTTTTTACAAAAGCTGAAGGTATTCAACTTGCTTTCTCTTGTCGTCTGAATTTGGTTGAGAAATTTTTATATGAACATCCTAAAATGAAGCTTATTCGCAAAGAATTTGAACTTATGCATCTTGTTGGAGAGTGAAAATTTGAATTATTAGATGGAAGTCATATTTTTAGTCAAATTAATAAAGAAGAAGATTACACACGTTTATTTGCTAGAAGGATAATTTGGATTGATAATAACACAATAAAGATTATGAAATGGTCTGTAGATTTTGACCCACAGACGGAACCCTAAATCATTCCGGTTTGGATTCCCCTTCTTGGCCTGAAATTTCATTATTTTTCTCAAAAAGTATTGTATTCTATTGCCTCTGCTTATGGTAAGCCACTCAAGACATACATTCCTACTTTTAATCTTTCTCGCCCATTTGAAGCTAGAGTACTTGTTGAAAGAGACATTACTTCTTCCGCTTTTGAGGAAATTTGGTTGGGCACACAACATCATGGATATTGACAGAAGGTAGAGATTGAGTCTTTTCCTTCGTATTTTTCGAACTGTCGTATGTTCAACCACTCCAGTTCTCAATGTCATCATTTACATCCCCACCTCAGACCAAAAAAACAAATACTCCACTAGGGGCAGTGATTCCAACTCTTCCTGATCAGCTCCAAGTTATTGACACTATCGATCATAAAAAAAAGATACACCTGAAGACGTCACTATCCCGTAGGGAATATATCAACCATTCAGTCTCCACACATTGTTGTAGCTCCCCTATCTTTGGAACCTCATATCGTGGAGGTGAGGGAGATTCTTCAGACCCCGTCTGCTCTTGAACCTATCACTGATATTACATGTGAAAATACCTCTGCTACTTCACTACCGCCTCATCTGGTCCAGAGAGATATCAATGTTACTCAGACTCAGGGATCATGATATGCAGTGTCTTACACTTGTCCGGTCACCTTTGGACCAATCCATTGATCAGATGAGTCAATCCTCGGATGAAGAATGATAAGTCTACACATCCAGGAGGAAGAAGAAGAACGGAAACATACTTGAGTTCAGAAATCTGATGGATGATATTTTGGTTACTTCGGGTAATGGTACGCACCTTATCAATTTGTTACCTGGCTTCTTTCCGAGAACTAGAGGCAGAGGAAGAACTAAAGTGAGACGTCTCTAACACTTTTGCACCTGTTGGTGAATTTTTGGTTTTTTTATCTTTATGTATCTTTGCTTCTTTGAGTTTTTTTGTGTGTTGTATTGTCTGAGTTGGGCCTTCTTTTAGGTAATCTCATACAACATATCTGTACATTTTCTTCTTTAATATATTAGCCTTGGGTCTTTTAAGATATATATATATATATATATATATATATATATAATAGATAACTAGGAGTAAGAGGCCACTTACCTTGCTCGACAACCTTAGGCAGTCCCCTAGCACCGGCAGACCCTCTTAGGTCTTTGCTAAATCGGTTCAACCAATGGGAGCAACATCCTATTCAGCCACCAGGAAGGCCCCACGTCAGTCTCCCGGGGTTGGAGGAACTTTGAATTCACTCGTCTATTTGCATGTTGACATTGACGGATGGCTGGAATATCTAGCGGACCTTTGACGGTGGCTCTAGGAGCACCTAGATCCCACTAGCGACTGCTCCGCCTCCCAAAACATCAGAGGAATTTTCTCCACTTACGAGCACACCTACATATTGATCCAATCTTCTTGTGGTCCATTACTAAGCCGAATTAGGTCTGTGTCCTGCCTAAACTGTTGAATCCTCTCAAAGTAATCCACAGTCAGTTTGACCAGATTGGAAGTGATGGTAACCTAAAACTTCTCGAACGGTTGTGGCCATAGTGGTAAGACATCGACCGTGATATCCTGAAATGCTCTCTGTCTTGACTCTCTTATGTCTGGAGCTGGTGTCTCAGTCTTATTATCTTCTCTCGTCACCAAAAATGGTCCCGCCAATGTTGTTCTGTTGGCATGGGCACCTGTGACAGTAGGATATCTCGAAGGGAAAAAGACAATGTGTTTCCCATCATTGGTAAATGAGTGGGTGTTTTTGAATCTGTCATGCTGAGTCCCGCGGTCAAATTGCCATGTTCTCCCCAACAAAAGGTGACAGACATCCGTGAGTACCATGTCACACTACATCTGACCCTGCAGCTTGCTCCAAATCGATAACTCCACTAGGCACCTCCAGTCAATGCTGACCCTGTTCTCTTTCTTCAACCCTCTAGATCGCGGTCGAGGGTAATCTATCCTTTGGGTTTCATCATCAATCTCTGCAAGAATCTGTTGCAACTGGTGAATTTCTCGTTGTATCTTGTCCCAGGTAGACTCCAACATGTATCTCTGTGGTGGCAATGATTAGAGTTTGGGCTTGGAAGCGGTGGCTGATGATATGAAAAACTTTTTGGTGGAGGGGTAAGGCGGATGCTAGGAAACCCTAGGATATGATTATGATTAGGCTAGCTCCCATATCAAATGATACTGAAATTAACCCATAAGACATTCGGAAAACAATATAATTGCTGAGTTCAAAAGATTACAAACAAAGAATCTCAAAATGAAAACAAACGACACAATACACAAGTGACACCCGAGGAAAGATAAACGTAGTGGGTTGCGGGTGGAGGTGAGGGAATCTGGAGTTATAGATTAGTGAATGCAGCAGTAGTGGAGGGAGTTGGAGAGGTATCTACAGCGGTTGTCTGCGGCGGCTTACTAGAGAAGTTGGGACGTTAGCTGTGGTGGAGGGGAGATGTGGAGTAGGCTGCAGTTAGGAGAGAGAGGGGTTGGAAGGGGATTATGGGATGATCTTGAAGAGAATCAGCGGGTTTGCGGCTGGATGGAGGGGTTTGAAGAGGATGCTGTCTGGTCAGGCGAGCAATCAGAAGGGTCGGGGCAAGGCTTTGGCGGTTGAAGGGTGCTGGGAGGTTGTCGACTGAAGGGTGCTGGGAGGTTATTGGCTGATGGTGGGGGGGGGAGCCATAGAGGAGGAATACAGTGAGTGGTCGTGGGGATAATCACCACCTCGGAGCAGGATACAACTGGAGCAATATTTGTCCTTGGATACACTCTAAAATGGAAAAAGGGGACGCCGATTGCTGTCCTAATAGAAATCTCAACAAAATTTAACCCTAACACAGAAAAATACATACATACACTCCCCCCTCCCCCCTCCCAAAGCAAACCAAATGAACATGGAGCTGGATATATATTTGTTCTTGTAAGTTTGGAGTTTTTGTGGTGTATTCATCACAGCAAATCTAAAGTATTATTCAATCAATGTGAACAGATTCAGCAATTTATTTCAACTCTGCTACCTCCACTCCCACTCACCATACACCTTTGTTCATTTTTGAAAACTCAGCGGTGCAGAGAAGGGGGGCAAAACTATAAATTATAAGTTCTATAATATTCTATAGATATTCGATTATATTTATTGGCATTGAGAGGATTAGGATAGCCGTTATGTCTAATATCCATCTCTATTTCAGTCTCTGTTTAGGACTTCATCCTTGCATATAAGTAAAACATTTTTTCCCTTTAGCTGCCACGCCATATCAAGTTTCATTTATTATTTCATTTGGGTGCTTAATCCTTGTACCCGAAATCTAATGCAGATGAAACAGTGGCTCCAAATCAGAAATGAAATTCATTTAACTGGCAGTTATTAAGATGTACATTACAGTTAGATTCCTTTAAATTCAGCATTAATTGAGAAGTTTAATCATCCATTAATTGATAATTTTGATTAAACACTAATTGAGAAACATGGATTCAAGCCAATAATCTTCATTCATAATGCCAGGAAATGTACATCACCAAGTTTTTCCAAAATCTCCACCTTGATTCGCATGTCAAAAGAATTGATATATTTCCTGTGAAGTATATACCCGAAATCTAATTCAAATGAAACTGTGGCTCCAAATCAGAAATGGAATTCATTTAATTGGCAGTTATTCAGATGTAATTCACAGTTATATTCTTTTAAATTCAGCATTAATTGAGAAATTAATCCATTAATTGATAATTTTGATTAAACACTGATTGAGAAACATGGATTCAAGCCAATAATCTTCATTCATAATGCCAGCAAATATACATCACCAAGTCTTTCCAAAATCCCCACCTTGATTCGCATGTCAAAAGAATTGATTGATATCTTTTCTGTGAAGTATAAGCTTACTAAACATTTTATGAAGTTGTTAATATAACCGTAAGATGGGTACTATTTTACCAGTAAAACTTGTTTGCTTCATATTATGAGCAGATTAACTACCTAGACGAGTGGTCTACTCTTTCCAGTGATCATGAAAATTCTTTGAGAGGAATTATTGAAGCATTAAAGGCAAGCACTCTTCGTCTCCCTGTTATTGGTGGAGCTAAGGTTTGTTTTTCTTAGCTATTCCTGAACATCTAATAAGAATGAGTAAAGTGTCAAACTAGTCCTTCGACTATTTACAAGGGATCATTTAGGTGCAGAGTCTATTAAAATATCAAATTAGTAATAATACTTTTTTAATATGAGCTGTAGTAGTTTCAAGAAGGGACTATTTTAGCTCCCATTAAAAAGTCTATGGATTAAATTGACACTTTTTTAGATTGTGGGACTAAATTGGTTCCCTGCAAAAAGTTAGGGGACCATTTTGGCACTTTTCTCTAATAAAAATAAAACAATTTAAGTTTCTTCTTTTCATTAGATGGATATTCAAGAGGTAAAAGATGCAATCAATTCAACAGTTGGCGTTATGCAAGCACTGACAGCTTCCATATGTTGTTTACTATCAAAGGTGAATGACACCTTTTTATGAGTCTGCTTTAAAATGCAAAAAAAAAGTAAAAACTCAAGCTGTCTTTTCATTATGTAGAAGTTCTGAGGTTTAATTAGACAAATTCCTGTTACAGGTAGAAGAAATAAGTTGCCTAGCATCTGAGATTGCGAAAGCAGCAGCATGTGAACGAGCTTTGCTTGACCAATCCAAAGATTTGCTGTCAGTAGTTTCAGCAATGCATGTAAGTAACCAGTCTATCTCTCTTGCCAAGTTTCTTATTCTTAGATATTCACTTAGGAGTTGTGTGCTGGATGCATTAGGAGTTAAAATGTGAAAAACCTCAAATAGAATGAAGTTGAACTCTTAAACATTGAGACGCCTTTTGGTGTAATGGTTGGAGTTTCATCAACTCCAAAGTTAAGAGTGTTTGTGAGGAAGCACTCTCAAGATAGCTGACTTCTTGGGAAATTACACCAAAGGGTCAAAATTGTGAGGTCATTAAGCCAAAACGGACAATATCTCCATGGATGAGAGTTCGGGCTTTTACAAATGATATCAAACATCAGCATGAAGATGGAACTTAATACCATACAGAACAAAGTGCTACGTCATTAGAGCCACCTCTTGAACCCAATGTGGGACAAAGTGATACATGGTGTGAGCACCTCTTGAATCTGTGGGGACCACCTTTTGAATTCTATCTCTTGATAAATGATTATAGGTTACAAAAGCTGACGATGACATCGGTTACTTAAGCCGGGGAGATTATGAAAAATGCCAAGTTGAATAAAGTTGAAGTCTTAAACATCGTGGCGCCTTTTGATGTAATGGTTGGAGTTTAATTAGAAACTCCAAGTTTAAGTGTGCTTACGTGAGAACACTCACAGGATGGTTGATCTTCTGGGAAGTGACACTAACAATACAAAGTTGTGAGACCATTCGGCCAAAGCGGACAATATCGCCATGGATGAGAGTTCAAACTATTACAATAAAGAAAAAACTACATGGGCTTTGAATTTTTAATTGTTTTGCTAAAATAAAATAAATTTAAAGTAATTTTTTGAGGAATTTGAAACACCCTCACATACCTGTCTCCATGAGAAGATTTAATACATATTTTCTCTGGGATAGGACTATCCCCTCAGGTCCATAGCTTTAATCCCAAGAAAGTATCCAAGCTATCTCAGATCCTTTACTTTATATTGCTTCCCCAATCTTTCATCCAATCGAGCAATCTCTGTCTCATCATCACTAGTGAATATATATCATCCACATACACAGTAAGTATGGTAGTGTCGCCGTCATGTTGCCAAAAAAACACCGTATGGTTTGCATTGATCTACTGATATCCCATGCCAACTATCAACATTCTAAACTTATCAGACCAGACTCGGGGAGACTATTTTAAGCTATACGGTGACTTTCTGAGCTTGCACACCTTGCCCACTATCTGGGATATACTGAATCCTGGTGGTATCTCTATATATACCTCCTTCAGTAGTTTCCCATGAAGAAAAAGATTCTTCACATCCAGTTGGTGGAGTCTCTATCCACTATTCCCATCCAGAGAAGCCAGTGCCCTTACTGTGCTCATCTTTTCTACTATTACAAAAGTTTCATCATAGGCAATGCCATATGTCTAACTCCCTTTTGCCACTATTCGTGGTTTGTACTTCTCTACCTTTCTTTCTGGAGTTTTCTTTACTGTGAAGAACCACTTGCATCTAATTGCCTTCTTCCTTGCTTGTAGTGGTACATTCTCATATGTTTGATTTTTATCAAGAGCTGCAAGCTCTTCATGCATTGCTGCTTTCCACTTGGGATCATCTTTAGCTACCTGCCTACACTTGGGTACAGAGACAGATCCAATGATGCAATGAATGCTCCATGAAAATTTGAGATGTTAGAATAAGAAATAAAGTTTACAATGTCAAGTTCCCACCCAAAATGATCAGAAGTATGTCTCACATTGAGATAGGAGGTTCTCCTTAACGTTGGAGGGTAAGACTGGAAGAATGAGGAATAATATCACCTATGAGCTTTGAATCAAAAGGGCATGGTGAAGGTGTCTCAAGAATTGGGGAAGAACGGGACAAGGAACTTGTTAGTAATGTAGACTTTGTTCCATCAGTTTGCTTCTTTCCGTGTAAACACTTTTAGCTCACCTTAAACATGAACCCCTCCACCTCTGGGGTCGGTCTCCTTGATTTTCGTTTCCTGAGATGATTCATCTCATATCACAGAGCATGCCATTGCTTCCACTTGCACCACTCCATCACCACTACTACTTACTTTCTCTTGCCTCATATCTCCAGTGTCTGTTGAGTCACCGAAAAATGAATTTACCTCCAGAGTGTAGTATGATTCAAACTCTCTGAATGACACATCTATACTCACAAAGAGTCTCTTCTCAATGGGGCTCAAACAGTCATAACCCTTCTGAGTAGCAGAATAACCCACGAATACACATTTCGCAGCTCTGGGATCCAACTTCCCTATAGATGGCCTATTGTCTTTCACAAAACATACACATCCAAATACATTCAATGGAAGGATCCCACCATTGCATTCTTTCAATATCTGACAAGGAGACTTCCACTTCAGTATTCTTGAGAGCATCCTCTTAATCAATTTAGCGGTTGTCAACACTGCTTGCCCCCATAAGTGTTGTTGGACATTCCTTTTCATCATCATGCTCCGGGCTACTTCTAGAAGATGTCGATTATTCATCTCTGCTACTTCATTCTATGCTGGTGTTTATGGGCATGTGATTTAATATTGTATTCCTTGAGTTGACATGTAGTTCTCAAATGGTTTGTTGATATTTTTTATCCCTTTATTTGATCTTAGTGCCTTCACAATTGTCCTGTATTAGGTCTGGATTGCCTTTTGAAAATATTTAAAGTAACTATCTCACTCTTCTGTTTCATCAAGTATATCCATGTAACATGAGAAAAAAATCAATAAATGTAACAAACTAATGATAACCATTCATTGAACTAGTAGGACATGACCCCCATACATCAGAATGTATCAAATCAAATATAACAGAGCTCCTCTTCCCAGAAATGACATAAGAACTCCTAGTGAGCTTGCCAAACTCATAAACATCGCACACAAATTTCACCTTTTTTGCCTTTTCATACATAGATTGATACAACTGACTCAATAAACTAAGACTAGGATGCGTCTGTAATGTAGTAGTAACACATCCTCAATGTTCCTCCCAAATCCTTCTACCACAACACTTTCTACCATGAATGCCAGAGCTGAGTCATCCCCTCTTGGTCCAAGTACCAGAGTTTACTATGCCACGTTCCGGTCTCAAGTGTTAGGCCCGTCTCTTTCTCTTGGAAGATCAACTAAGGGATATCAAAAGAAACAATGCATTTTAGTTGGAGAATAATGCAACTAATGGAAAAGAGGTTTACAGGAAAAGAAGGAGGATGCAAAATAGTGGACAAAGTCATATGATTGGTACATCTCCTATACCCTTACCAACTACACGCTGCAGTGTATCATCAGTAGTCTCTATACTCTTTGATACTGCTAGATGAGTATATGAAGAGAACTTTTCAGCAGTATCTGTCACATAACGATAAACACCAGAATATATGATCCATTCTGATGAACCCGTGGTGGAAATAGAGGCAAGAGCAAGTATGTCACCGATACCTTTTCTGAAGTGAGCATAAATGACAATGTTACCCCTTAATGTCGATGGATTTTAAGCATCCTCAGCTCCATCTCCTGCTACTTTCTGCTTCCTCTTCAACAGTTCCACACTCATGATCCTCACCAGTAAAGATCACACTATCTCTCCATTGTCTTATGTTATCACCAGATTTTCCCGATTGCCCCATTTTCCACCTTTCCAACCCTCGCGACCACGACCTCAACCTCCACCCTATCCACGTCCACATGCCTCTCTCTCTTTCGGTGGCTTAGGACCGACTCAGCTCAGATGACAAACTTCACCATAGTTGTAGCACTTGCGAGTCTCCCCTGGACTCCTAGCACGCCTGGGCTCACAGTAGCCAATGCTGATTGTGTACCCGAAAAACCACTCAGCTCAGAATTTAGCTTCATACGACTCTCCTTCTGTATCACAGTGCTATAAAGAAAGGCTATCACAGTGCTATAAAGAAAGACTGTCATGAAATCCTAAATAGGGGCTATGACAAAATTTTGCAACAAAGTTACGGAAATCTTAAATAGTGATTGATAATTGAAGTTTAGATGTGAAGACTTAGCTATGTAAGCTCATATAATTCAAACGTAAATAACATCCACAAGAAGTAATAAAGTGAATGGAGAAAGAGGCGAGGCAGAGAGAGAGGGGCATCCACAAAATAAACAAATAAATAAATTTTTTGGGTGCTTGAAAATGGAGTTCTTCAGCATCTTCAAGGAAAAGGCCTAATTACACTCATCTTTGCACTAGATTTCATTTTTTCTCACTTTATAAAGAATTATTTTTGTCAGTATCTCTTATGATTTTGTATGAATTATAATTCTTATTTTGTTTCTTCAGCATCTTCACTATATAAGGCTGCTAGCATTCTATGCCTTTTAAAATGTTTTTATAAATCTATAAGCTTATATATATATATATTTGAATGGTCTGAGGCTATTATACATTTATACGGGCCCCGACCATCCCCATGCACCTAACAATTCGAGTGCCACACCCTCCACCAGATGGAATCAAACTCCAGTCCAGAGGGGACTCACAACTGACAAGTAGATGCCCGATCAATTGATATGAGTACACGGTGCCTATATATATATATATATATATATATGAGGGTGTGTGTGCGTGTCTGTGGGATTATTTTACTACCAATGAAACACAAAGAAAGTTATTAAAAATGCATTACATATACCTTAAACACTATTTTTTATTCAAATTACTTGCTATGGCAACCGGAAAATCGTGAACCAAACTTTTGATGCTCTCGCAGGTGAAGCAGTGCAGTGTTCAGGCCTGTATATTACAACTAGCAAGGGAAGCAAGCCTTATACAGCTACAGTAGCAGATAAAAGCAGATATAGAGACATAAATTCTATTGGGAATTCCATACCGTATAGAAAAATGAATTGCAGTTCATGATCTTATAAACACAACCTTTATTTATGATGAACGGCTATCCATTCTTCCCTTTGTTTGGTAATTCCCTTGAGAAATTTTGTCCTGTTGTTTGCCTTCACTGCCACCTCAAATACCTCTTTTCTTCTTTTTTTAGCAATAGATTGCCACTTATGGAGGCAAATAAAAGCTACTTCGGTTTGCCCGTTTGCATTGTTTGTTACATGTGTGTGTGTGGGGAAAAGTTTTTGCGCACGTTGTTCGGATGCAGAGCTGCGCCCGGATAATGCGGCAATTCTCTGATCGCGGTAGAGACAAAAAAAAAAAAAAAAAAAAAAAAACCCGCGATCAAGGGTAACTTGGCGGTGTAAAAAAAAAAAAAAAAAACGCCGCGATCAAGTGTATCATGGCCGTTGTCCGGACGTAGCACCATCCGTATTACGTACGCAAAAATCGCTCGTGTGTGTTGTTTGTTTGTGATTTTACCTTTTATATGGTTTGAAGCAATTGTGAGAGGAAATGGAGGTAAGGATTGTAAAGAAATTGTATCGAACTTATTTTTGATTTGGGAGAAATTATTCTTAGGGGCATTTACATAACATACCATGTAATTCTTTTGTATTTTGGTATCTATTATTCGAAAATCTTTAACATCACATTAAAAAATACCTTTATTATTAATTTTTTTACATTTATGACCCTGAAATATTGTAAATGTATATATCGATTATTTGTTATTGGATATATAATTCCATAAAAAAAATTTTATGTCCTTGAGAAATTTGTGGTATTTATGTAAATTTCTCTTATTTTTATTTATTTGTTGCCCAAAAGGTAACTTGCCTCAGAGAATTTTAAATAAGAAAAAAAAATATATTTAAGGATATCAACAAATTAATTACCGTATAATTACTAGGTGAAATAAGGAAAGGTAATATTTAATTGATAGCACTTGGTACTGTTGACAAAATGTCTGGGTTTTTATCTCCTAAATGTATCTTCAAACCTCTTATTATAGAGCTCTATTTGAATTATGTAACAATTTCTGCCTGGAGGTGAATTATGAAGTTATTTAAGTCCTGTTTGAGGTAGCTTGTTTAATGCAGTGCGTTTTCAGCCCGTATGGGTAAATTATATTTTGACAGCTTATTTAAAAAATTGTGTTTTCGAACACGGCTCATTTAAAAATTTGAAAATAATAATAATAATAATAATAATAATAAATAACAAAGGAAAAAAACAAAGAAAAAAAACCGGGCCCATTTTCTCCGCTTTGTGTACGATATCGAAATAGAGCGATGGCGTCGCCGCCGTCTTGATCTCTCCAAGCCTATCCCTCTATAAATGTTTCATGGCCTTGAGCCATCTACGCTCTCTGAATCGCTGCCTCGCACTACTTCCCAGCCCATCCCCAACCCCAGCCCTTGCCCTAGGTTTCTCCGCCCTTCATCGGATCTCCGGCGAGAAGCCCCGTAGACCCTCCGCCACCACAGCTGAAACACTGGCGCACAGGATCGGGAAGGCCATTCGGCGCCCAGGCGCCCCCTCCAAAGCTAGGGTTTATGCTGACGTCAACGTCACCCGTCCCAAGGAGTACTGGGATTACGAATCTGTCGCCGTTCAATGGGGGTAACGTGGGATAGGGTGCTTCGGTTTATTGAGGTTGAGTTTTTGCGATGAAGAATTGTGTTTAGGGTGTGTGTTTTTTCTGGTTGGTCGCAGGGATCAGGAAGAGTACGAAGTTGTTCGGAAGGTGGGGAGAGGGAAATACAGCGAGGTTTTTGAGGGGGTGCACTGCACGGATAGCCAATCCTGCATAATTAAGATACTGAAACCCGTGAAGAAGAAGAAGGTGAAGTTTATTTATTTATTTATTTATTTGTTTTTTATACGTTTGACAAATCACTAAAACTTTTTATACATGCAGAAGTTGCAAAAAGAAAAAAAAATTCTATATTGCTGCTTTGCTGGATTAGTGAGTAAATTTAGGATAAATTAACGGTTATGATATCAATTTTTTGCTAAAAAGAAATTGCCAAATCTATGCGCACATAAATCAAGATTAAATATGGGCGAAGCTGAAAATGCAGCTTTTTTCTGATTAGGGTTTTTATATATCTTTTTGGTTTCTTTTTTGTTTATTACTGTAAAGCAATTCTAACACCGCATGCTTAATTGCTGCTTCCCTTTGGGTTGTAGAAATTGGGGTTCGAGTGTCTTGAAAAGAAGTTTGTAAAGTGATACCGGAGCTAACCCAAATAACAATGTATCTGTAATATGGTTGCTGAAATTCAAATGGAAAGTTGTAAAAACCAACAGAAATAGGAAATAACAATAACACGACACACAAAAATCTGAAATTGTGACAAATGACAGCACTAACTCAAATTAGGTTGGATTTTTGGGGTGGTGGTGGTGATCAACAAGGTAAGGAGGCAACAAGGGGGTGCTTGTGATAGCCTAGGGGAGGTGAGAAACTGCTAGAACAACGAGAAGGCTGACTATCTTGGGTGGTGGTGATAACAATGGCGAGGGACTGAACGACGACCAAACAACAAGAGAGGTGCTATTCTAGACTGCAACAGTAAGGGAGGAGGAAAACAACTGTGAAGGGGAGGAGTTGCGACAATGACATCAAGTTGGAATGAGAGGAACAGATGGATGGAAACCTGGAATAACAAAAAATAGTAGACAACATATATTTTCGGGCAGCTGTAACACGAGGGAGGGGGATGTCAGTGACAACAACCGAAAATGCGGGGGACTGCAAGACAACAAGAGAACAATTGTCCGGGGTGGCAGTAACGAGGATAGGGGTGGTGGTAACGAGGATATGCGGCTGGAATTCGGTAACTACAAAGAAAACAAGAATATGCGGCTTTTTGGAGGTGACTGAGCAAAGGGAGGGCGATCAGATGCAACGTGGGGAGGATGCAGAAAGGGATATGGAAGATAATTTCCAGCTATGCTTGCTTGTTGACCTATGCTCAAGATGCAGCCGAAGCACCACCTAGAGTTCCTAATACAAAACACAAAAAAAAAAAAAAAAAAAAACACAAATTTAACATATTTATGGGTTTATTTATAGGTTTAAGGTAAATAGGAGTGGGCCCCACTTCCAATAGGCGGGAAATCCACTAAAAGGAAGTGTCGACTAGCCCTTCTGGACTGGTCCGAGTCGCCATTTCCCGCGGCTATTGTAACAAGGGTCTCTTTTGGGTTGTTGTTTTTGTATATTAGTGTAAAGCAATTTCACCACCGTATGCTTAATTGCTACTTTTGTTTGGGTTGTAGGTATTGGGATTGGAGTATCTTTAAAAGAATTTTGTAAAATTTGTCAAAAATGAACACATTACCAATAATTGGGCCCTATCGTTACTTGGACTGTTGGGTAATGCGGCAATGGTTATGATATCAAATGCATGTTTAAGTATAAGTTGTCAACAACATGCTTGCATTTTTCTGATTCTAATATTTCGAAGAGGAGAAAAAGATGCAACATTATATATATATATATATATATATATATATATATATATAGTAGTTTGTAGTAGTTTGATTTTCTTTCAATGCATGTTGTACCTCTATGAAGCATGGACACTTCCAAATGGCTTTCATGTGTGTGTTTGACACATAGAGATGACTTTGACACGGTTCGACACATGGTTGACATGCTATGACCGGTTTGACACATCATAACTTTTTAAGAGCTTTCTTATTGTAAATTTGTGCTCTTAAATCTGTGAGACACATTAGAGCACACAAGAATGATATTTTTTGTACATTGGGACACGTTTAGGTACTCAAAACTTTATGCCTTAATATATTTCATATCCTTCTGTTGAAGCCAAGATACAAAATGAAGCTATAATATGCAGACAAAGTAGAAGCCAAAGATCTATCCCTTTTTTCGAGGTTGGGATATGCGGGCAAAGTTAGTGGCGAAAACGCATCCCCATCTAGCATTGTGTCTCATCCTAGCTTTATAGTTGAGATACGGAGTTGAACATGAAGATGCATCTTCTTCTCACATCGCTTCTTTCTCTTGTGTCATGTTTCACCCTTCGCTTTGAAGTTGAAGGCATATATGTACTTTCAAATTTGAAGTTGAAGCCATATTTATCATATATAACTAACAAAAGCGGAGAATATATGATATCATAGTCAACCCAAACCACAATAAGAAAACAAATATTGTTACTGAAAAAACCAATAAGCAGTTACTACCACACAGAAACGAAAAAGAACAACGAACAACACGATACACACTGAATCGACTTGGGTGGTTATAGGGCGCTAATTGTGGTTATAGGGTTTGGACAGGTGGCGGCGAGGGGAGAAGTGGGGCAGTGGTGCCGAACAATAAAAAAGCAGTAGATACTTGCTATCTTGGGCGGCAACAAGGGCTTAGGTGGATTGGACAACAAAGAAATAATGCTAGGTGCGGTTTTGAGAGGAGTGAACAAAAAGTAGGTTGCGGGGAGGTGGTCCCGGCGACTTGAATAGCGGAAAGGCGATACGAGGAATGGTTTTGGGCGGTTGGAACAACAATGACAACACAAGGGGAGAATTAGAAGTGAAGGGAACCTGGGCTGGAATGTAGAAACTGCAAGAAGAACAATTTCAACAGCTGTTTCGGCCGCTGCTTCGGCCTTTGCAGCTGGGAATGACGGTTGGGAGCAGCGTGGAGACGATGTGGAAGGGGATTAGGGAAGATAAACACCACTTGAAGATTAAGATCAGCTAAAGCACCACCTGGAATCCTAGGATACAACTCTCAAGGCAGCACTTGCTGCCCCACATATGCACAGGAGATCGCAGAAGACGCCCCACATTAGTCTCCCGTGGTTGGGGAAGCTTTGACCTCATTCAACGAGGCTTCTGTTTCATAATATAGAGTCAGACTAAGTACGTTGAAGGTGGCAGAGCTGCTGCAACCTCCTATGATTGAATGATCTTTGACGACAGATCTAGAAGCACATGGACTCACCGACGAATGTGCTGTTCCCCAAAACACCTGAGTATGTTTCCCCACTTACGAATAGTCATTTACATCAATTCAACCATTTGAGGGTATTTTGTTGAACTGAATTGGGCCTTCCTGCCAAGTATCCTTTGTGAAGCCTTCCAAATGTAGCCCCCAGTTTGCTCATCCTTATCTGACGTGAGGACAACCTGAATCTCCTTGAATGGTGGTTTGATATCGATCATAATTTTTTGTAATGCTCTCTTTAGTGACTATCTCGTGTCTGGAATAAATGTCTTAGTCATGCTATCTTATGTCGACACCAAAGCAAGTCTCGTTGGCGCTTCTATGTTGGCAAGAGTGCCTGTAATATCGGGTTCAACATAAGATAAAAGGCTATGCACTTGCCATCTTTAGTGAATACTGGATATTCCTGAAGCTGTCATGTTGTGTTTAACGATCAAAATGTCTGGTCTCTTCAATAAAAGGTGACAAGTTCCATGGGCATTTCTTGCAACAAACCTGATTCTGCAGCTGGTTCCCAATAAAAAATTGGACGTGACACATGTAAATGCTGAGTTTACTCTTCTCTTTCAAGCACATCAGGGAGTGCGACTGGAAGTGCCTCTGAGTTATGAGGCTCAACTAGTCCATCATTTGTGTAGAAACCTCATTTTTGCTTCACCCTCCATCGATAATGAGACTGCATGTATTTACCTTGAAGTGCAACGAGTGTAAAGTATGTTGTTGCAAAGTTGCTGCTGATCTCACATAGTCTGAGTTTGTAGGACTCTGTGAATCACGAGTATCTCGCCCTCATTCGGTAGCAGATGACACTCCTCACTTTTTTCTTCAGTTTTCTTTTCATCGCTGGCTTCCTTCACTGCACCCTGATCGGTGAATGGAACTCAGCTCATCGGGCTATTGGAAGTGATGTATTCAAGATCATGACATCTTCTTAGATTTCTCACTAGGCAATTTTTTCATCCTCCCAACCGAACTTCTCAATTGCCTTAGATTCTTTTAGTGCTATGACTGGAACGTCAGTAAAAAATCAATAAGGCTGTAGCTGAACCATGTTGCCGATGACAAGCTTCAAGCTTCCCAAATATCTGGTTATTGTTTGCTGCTCTCGCTCTGTTAGATCACATTTCAGCCTAAGTTGCATAAACTTTGCTTTATACTCCATTGATAGTTCCCTCTGTTGTAGGTAGTGGAGCCTCAAGGTAGTATGGGAGTAGGTACTGTCACTACAACTTTCTCATCATCTTATCCTAGGTAGTAATTTTGCCCCATTTATTTTATTTCTCTTCGTTTGTCTAACCACTTTGAGGCATTTTTCTTAAGCTTGATAGCAGCTAGTTTCATTTTCCGGTCATCTGACACCTTCTATTCAAAGACCCTTTCGACAGTTTGCAACCACGATATGAAATCATCCGGATTCATTCTCCCCCTCGAAATTCGATATGTCCACTTATATTCCTAACCCTTTGTATCATCTAAGAAGCACTTTATCTCTGTATCCTCCAATAAGTTCTTCATTTATGTATCCTATAACAAAAACTTCATCTCTATATCCTCAGCAAATACTTCATCTCTCGGTCTCCTCTGATATTGCATCCCAAAGCATCAAGATCTGTCTTTTTCTCCACTGAAATTACCTGTACGGAAGGGATTCAAGTATTCCTCTTATTTGGATTCACTACCATGCTCGTCGGTGACCTTTTCATGAGTCCTTTCCTCAATGTCATCGAGCAGTTGTACACTCAGCAGGGTTGCACTGTAATTCCTCCATGGTAAACTCCTGATCAAGTTCCGACGATTGCCTTCGTGGCAACATGATTAGGGTTTGGAGGTGGGTAGGCGGAATGGGTGTGTAAGGGTGA